CCGGGAGATGGTGATGGGAAAGCCGAGGAAGAAGTTCGTCTAGGCCTAACCTCCACGCGAACCGGGCAGAGAGCTCTGGGTGGAAGGAGTGCCTCCAGGAAGAGAAACACTTGGTATCTGTGCATTGAGAGGAGTCTTAGCAGGCGCTAAGCAGCGGTTCTCAACCTGTGGGTCGAGACCCCTTGGGGGGTTGAACGACCCTTTCACAGGAGTCGCCTAAGACCATCAGAAAACACATATATAATTACATATTGTTTTTGTGATTAATTATGTTCAATTTATAACAATGAAAATACATCCTGCATATCAGATATTTACGATTCATAACAATAGCAAAATTACAGTTATGAAGTAGCAACGACAATAATTTTATGGTTGGGGGTCACCACAACATGAGGAACTGTATTAAAGGGCCTCGGCATTAGGAAGGTTGAGAACCACTGCTCTAAGGGATGCACTGTGAAGATTGGGAGAAGTCCTTACCTACTGTTTCCTGTTCTCGCCGTCCTGTTCTCTGCTCTAATCTTTATTATTTCCTTCTACCAGGTTTGAGGGGTTTCTAGTTCCTTAACTGGTGGAGTTGGGTGGGTGGTTTACGATCCTTGGTTTTTACTGTCAGCATTTACTGATAGATTTCCCCTTAGCGCTGCTTTCTCTGCATCCCACGAGTTTTAGTCTGTTGTGTGTATTTTCATTTGTCTCTAAGTATTTTCTCATTTTCCTTGTGATTTCTTATTTGATCCATTGGTTGGGTGTTTTAAAATGTATTTTTTAATTCACAAAGTTGTGACTTTTCCAGCTGCCTTTCTGTTGCTGGTTACTAGCTTCAGCCCGTTGCACGTTGTGTGCTGTCTGTATTTTTAAGCCTGTTGAGGCTGTCTTTGTGGCTTAGCAGATGGTCTGCCCTGGAGAATGTTCCATGAGCGCGGAAGAAGAATGTGTTCTGTTGCTGGGTTAGGTCTCGCTGGTTTATTGTGTTGTTCAAGGCCTCTGTGTCCTTACTTATCTTCTATCTGATTGTTGCACCTTCATTGAAAGTGGGACATTAGGTATTATTGTGAAACTGTATTTCTCCTTCAACTCTATCAGTCTTTGCTTCATATATTTTGATGGTCTGTCATTGGGTATGTAAGTGTTTATAACTTATATCTTGTGTTGAACCTTGTATTGACATATGTCTTTTGTGTTTTGTAACCTTTTTTGATTTAATGTCTATTTTGTCTGATATTAATATAGCCACTCCCACTCTTCTTTTTGGTTACTATTTGCAAGCAATGTCTTTTTTCATCCTTTCACTTTTAACTTCTTTGTGGTTTTGGATCTAAAGGGATCTCTGTAAACAGCATATAGTTGGTCATGTTTTGTTTTGTTTTTAAATATATTTTTACTAGAGGCCCGATGCATGAAATTCGTGCAAGGGGCTTGGCCCTCACAGCCCCAGCTTCGTCCGGACAGTCATCCAGATGGTCATTCTGCTGTCTGTCTAATTAGCATATTAGCTCTTTATTATATAGGATTGCTTTCAGAGAGGAAGGGAGAGGGAGAGAGATAGAAGCATCAATGATGGGAGAGGATCATTGATCAGCTGCCTCCTAAACGCCCCCTACTGGGGATCTCGGCGGCAACCTAGGCATGTGACCCTGACAGGGAATCGAACTGTGACCTCCTGGTTCACAAGTCGATGCCCAACCACTGAGCCACACCCACCAGGTTGGTCATGTTTTTTTTCTTTTTTCTTTTTTAAAATATATTTCTTTATTGATTTCAGAGAGGAAGGGAGAGGGAGATAGAAACATCAATGATGAGAGAGCATCATTGATGGGCTGCCTCCTGCACGGGGCCTACTGGGGATCGAGCCTGGGCATGTGCCCTTGGCCGGAATTGAACCTGGGACCCTTTAGTCCGCAGGCCATCGCTCTATCCACTGAGCCAAACTGGCTAGGGCAAGAAAAATCAACCAAAAAATGAGTTCGCGTGTCACCTCTGACACGTGTGTCATAGGTTTGCCATCACTGTTAGAGGCTGCCAATTGATTGAAGAATCTAATCTATTGACATTTAAAGTAATTATAAATAAGGTGGCCTTATTTCTGCCACTTTGCTGTTTTGTCTTCTATGTACCTGATAGCTTTTTGTCCCTCATTTCCCATATTACTGTCCTCTGTTTAGCTGATTTCTTATAGTGAAATGTTTTAATTCCCTTCTCATTTCCTTTTTTTATAATTTTACAACTGTTTTCTTTGTGGTTATATTTAACATACTCAAGACATAACACTCTATTTGAATTTGTACAAGCTCTGCTCTGTCCTCTCTTGTTGATGCTGGGATTTCCGTTGGATTGCATTGGATCTGTACATCACTTGGGAACATTTGACCTCTGAGTAATATTGAGTCTTCTGTTGCATGAAGATGGATTCTCTCCAGGCTTCTCTCCTTTCTCAGTGGTGTGTTGTAGTTTGCAGTGTACAGGTTTTGCACATACTTGTTAAATTTATTACTGAGTAGTTTGCTTTGTTGATGATACTCTAAATGGTATTGTCTTTTTAAACTTCAGGTTTTTGTATGTGGAAATAAATTGATGTTTGCTATTAACTCAGTATCCCACGACCTTGCTAAAATCACTTAGTGGCTTTTTTGTAGACTATGGTTTTCTATATAGATGATGTCTGCAAATACAGTTCTACTTTCCTTTCTGTATGCTTTTTCTTTCTTTCTTCTGCCTTATTGAGGGAATTTTGTTTTTATATTGTATAGCAAATAACACAGCAATTTTAACAACCTCCCCCGCCCCCCCCCCCGCCCCAGCTCGATTGTCAGATTACAGAGGGCCTTTTCACTGCAGATTTATGATCTGTATAAGTTGAATTTATATTTACTTTTCATTGAAAATATATTATGATTAAGATGAAACTTTTCATACTTAACACATGATGCATCTCATAATTTTATTATAGAATTTTAGAAGTAAGTATGTAATTTAGGTACCATTTTTACTGTTAGCACGTTTTAAAATAATATAGTTATTTTTATGATAATAAAAGAATTTTCATTATCATTTAGGAAATACTGAACCAGTGACCTTAGTTATTCAGTTATGATGAAAGGTCTAATCTAACCTTTTATTGAATGTGGTATTTATTAAACATGAAACTTCTTATTTCTAAGACTTAATCAATAGGACATTAAGCCATTTATTACTGCAATTAAAGAAGGCCTTGCAGACTAGATATTCTACTTCCTTGTCACCCGATTTAACTTTATTTTTTTAATTGAATATATTGGGGTGCTATTGGTTAATAAAATTATAGGTTTCAGGTGTAAATTCTATAATATATCATCTCTATGTTGTGTTGTGTGTTCAGCACCCCAAGTCAAGTCTCCTTCCATCACTTACCCACCTGCATCTAGTTTAACAATCAGGAAGTAGCCGTCTAAACCCAGATTTGTCAAATGTGTGTAACCCAGCCCTTGTGACTTCAGTGAGGTTGTGGAAGGAACAGTACAATGTGCAGGAAAATAATCTGTAATGTCCCTTTAGGAAGGAACAAGCCCCTTTTACATCTCGTTATATTCTACCTGAGAGGGTGTATTTTACTTGCCATTTGTTAACTATTATTTATTTGCTTAAAACAATGGGATTTGGTACAGGGGGAATATTGTTAAGTGTGGCAAGAAATGTGTTGCGTAATTGACGTTGGCAGGGAAAGAAACCTCCAATAGGAAAAGAAAAGGGCACTGCAGTGGGAGCCTGAGGCCCATCTCTTCTGTGGGGTCGTCTTGTGTTTTTACTGAAATAGAATTTCCCGGGAGGACAGTGTCCATGTCATGAGGACGCAGCTCAGTGAATTGTCACCAACACAGCCTGTGACGTGGATAATGTTCCGTTACCTTGCACCAGAGCGGTGCCCTCCGACTGTTCCCGGTGCAGTGTGCATGCTGCCAGAGGAATGCCAAAACCGAATTGTGATAGGAATGATAGCCAGCGTGGCTCCGTCCTACTGTGTGCACGTGAGCTCTCTCAGTTCCTCCTCACAGCACGTCTGGGAGAGAGGTTCTGTCCACAGGTTCACGATGAGAAAACAAAGGAAAGAAGTACAGTTTGGCCCAGGCCAGTGTGCTAGAGCATCGGCCCGCGCACTGAAGGGTCCCGGGTTCAAGTCCCGGTCAAGGGCATGTTCCTGGGTTGCAGGTTCATCCCCAGCCTCGGTCAGGACTTGTGCAGGAGGCACCTAGTCAATATGTCTCTTTCCCATCAATGTTTCTGTTTCTCTCTCTTCCTTCCTCCTTCCCTCCCTCTCTCCCTCTGCCTCTCTCTGTCTCCCTTTCCCCTCCTTCCTGTGTGGTTAAAACATTGTACTCTTTGTCACCTGTGCTCTTAGTATGGCCATTTTCCCCCTCAGATTGACTGCTTAGGAGAATTGGAGAGCTATATTTTTTGTTGGGGAGCCCTTGAGTTGGGGGCTTTTGTTTAACTACAGGATCGTGAGGCAGTTTTATCTGCTTCACGTAGTGCCTTTCAGAGTTAGGGGTTGAAGTAGACGTGTGAGTCGGTTTAACACTTTTACTCATTCGTCTTTGACTTTCACGGGTGAATATTCAGAGTTCTCTTTGACAGAATACGGAGGGAGTGTGTGGCGTTTCTGGCTCGTGGCATATAGTTTCCTTCCTCCCGAACAGATTCCCTGTGGCGGGGGGGGCGGGGGGGGCACCTTGCCGTGACTGACTTCCGATAACTTGGGCAAAGAGTAAGCGGGCACCCAGGATGCTTTTAGTTTCAGCTCAGACACCATTGATCCCGGGAGAGAGACCAGCTTTCATGCCTTCTCCTAGCAGCGGCTCCCAGCGAAACCTAGTGCTATTAATGTGCATAATGATCACTTTATTAACGGGGCGGGGGGGGGGGAGGCTTATTGGGAGTATAAAGCATAACTGCATTGCGTCCTGCGGGCTGCAGGTGATGCTGTGTGAGCGGTGGGTGCTCTAACGGGGCCTCTCTCCTAGGCCGCCTCGGAAGAGCTGAAAGCTGCCTACCGCAGGCTGTGCATGCTGTACCACCCCGACAAGCACAGAGACCCCGAGCTCAAGTCGCAGGCCGAGCGGCTGTTTAACCTCGTCCACCAGGCTTATGAAGGTCAGTGCCGTCGATTTTTAAGAGACTTGATGTGTAGAGGAGCAAAAGCGAGTCCTTGGAGGGCTGTAGAAGAGGTGGTGAGTCCAGGCCTTTCCACTGACAGGGTCTTTTGAAAGAGCAGGATTTTCTTTGGAAATCAATATGTGTCGGTGTCAGTAGGAGACGGGCGCTCAGGGGAGGCCACGGAGCGGGAGCGAGTTGCAGGGGAAACTCGATTTTCAGATCGTCGACTAGTTAGTGTCTCGGAAAGGGAACTCTTAGAGATGAAAGGCTGGTCGTTAAGACAAGCTTTCTGCTGTCTTTTAAGAGACCGTACGAGAACATTTTTTCATCTGAAAGTGAGTTTATTGACTCCGTAGCATTCAGTTAAGGAAAGGTTCTAACAGAAGAAAGAAAATGATATTAAGAAGGCTAACAGGCAATAGAACTAAGTAATTGAGACTTTTATACTTGCACCTTACGGATTTCAGAAAGAACATTTTGTGACATACTTGTTTATAAAATATTAAAGTCATTAATAGTTACAGTTTCTGTTTGCGATGATGAAATGGTGATGGTTACACAACAAAGTGAATGTACTTCGTGCCACTGACCTGTGCACTTAAAAATTATTAAAAGGATCAGTTTTATGTTATGTGTATTTTACCGCCATTTTAAAGGTACAAGTTTATAAAATGTTAAATCACTTTTAGGATGTATATCAAGTAGAATAAGTTGTTTATTCCAGAGCCATTTGGTGATTTGCTCTTTAATTAGATTAAAAATTAGATAATGTGTTTCCTTATAAAATAAAGGCTTCTTATTATAGACAGGAGACATAAGCTGTACTTCACTTTATAGTTTTACCAAAAACTTAGGTTTTAATGACTGAACCCGGGGCCATGGCTGATGACACATGGCGACCGCTGCTCTCTAGGATGCTGTGGTCTGCACGGCTGTGTCCATTTCCTGTTGTCTAAATTCCCCGCATAACCGGGACAGGGTTCTGGAGATTGGGGGAGAGTTAGGAAAGCCCTCCCTGTGCGGGTGGAAATGCTGCGGCAGCAGCCCTGGCCCGTGCTCAGCCTGGAGGGAGACCACGTAGGACACTGACTCCACAGCCCTCGTTCAATCCCAGGATTAACTCCAGAGGCCCGCGCCCATTTCCCCAAGGTCAGCATTTTCCTCCGCCCAGCGGATTTGAACACGGACAGCATCGTTTCCATCGTTTTTAAATTGGGCCTAAAAATATATGGGCATCTCTCGGGAGCAGGTTCCAAGGTCTCGACAGGAGCTGGCAGAGCAGAGCAGGAGCGCATGGCTGGGCTTTCTGGGTCTCCACGTGGTGTGAATCTCCCGCCAGGAGCTGTCGGCCTCCCTGGGAACCTTCCGCGTGCGCTCAGCGGATGTGGCCGGCGTCAGAGGCGGGCGTGTGGGTCTGTCTAAATGACTTAGCAATAAAGCGGAGAGGCGGGAAGAGGGACAGGGAGTAAGTCAGACATGTCCAGGGTCGGAACCTGTCCCGAACCTCACGTCCCGCCTCTTCAGAAAGTGCCATTCTCTCTTTCAGGCCAAGGCACTTTACAGGCTGTACGTACAGACTTACTGACTCTTAAAAACACTGTCCTTAAGTGACACCAGGTGCCCCTCTCAGTTCAGAGGAGCTCATTCGCGGCCACCGTTAAACACGGCCGAGGTTGGAAAGAAAAATAAATAAGCAAACGCAGTCAAGGCTGGCTCTGAGAGCAAGGAGGAGAAGGACGCAAAGGGAAGGAGAGGTCTGTCTCTAGGAGAGAGTGGGGCAGGGTGGGACCTGCCGGGATGCTGCTGTCAGGACCGGAAGGCGAGTTCTGTGCTTTGTCAACATGTGCGGTTTCTGTTTGCAGTGCTTAGCGACCCGCAGACCCGGGCCATCTATGACATCTATGGGAAGAGAGGCCTGGAGATGGAAGGATGGGAGGTAAGAGCGAGCGTGTCTGCTGCCCAGAAAAGGTCACAAACACCTGCAAACAGCCACCCCAGCCCACCCTGGAGGAAGGAACTGGCAGCCATCACCAGGCGCCCAGGCCAGCAGCTCCTGCACAGTCCTGTTCTGCTCTGGCCTCGGCCTGCGCCTCCAGTCTTCTCATTCTGGAGCCTTAAACCCTGTTTGTTTCTTCCTGTGTTTGTAATCATATGGACATATTCATGGGGTCTGTGCTACTGGCTGATCAGATTGTCTAATCTCATTCTTAACACTAGCGTCCTGCTGCCCAGAATATCCCTATGAATATCCAGGGGGAGGAGCCGGCGCCTGGGCCCCAGGAAGCAAGCGCTTCCCATCCAGACCCTCCTTGTCCTTAATGAGGCACAGGTCCCCACTGACAGGGGTCCCAGCACATGTGGGCCACAGCCACAGGCCACTGAACGGGGTGTAGTGGCATGAGCCACTTGTGACGGACTTGAAGCCATTCTTTCTCGGTCTTTCTGGATCTTCAAGGTGACGTGGAATGGCTGATGACATTTCCCTGAAGTGCCTTTATTTTTCTTTTCTTTTGATGAAGGAGAGGCCGACAGATTGAGAAGATAATGCACACTTTGCAAAACTGTACCTCGCGCTTTTTTTTTTAAATATATTTTATTGATTTTTTACAGAGAGGAAGGGAGAGGGATAGAGAGTTAGAAACATCAATGGGAGAGAAACATCGATCAACTGCCTCTTGCACACTCCCTACTGGGGATATGCCCGAAACTGAGGTACATATCGGAATCGAACCTGCGACCTTTCAGCCCGCAGGCCGACGCTCTCTCCACTGAGCCAAACCAGCCAGGGCTGTACCTCGCTTTTTGTCCCAGACAGGGTAACTTTGGGGACAGGAACGTGCCATGAATGGGTGCACGTGCCCGTGGTTTGTGAGAACTAGCAGGTGTGCATGCTGCTCAGCTAAATACACCGAGCACCTGCTGTCCGTCATTGAGGACTTGCAGTTCGTTCTCAGATGGATGTCACAGTGTTTTTATTCTAACACTGCCTTTGAAAGAAGCACCTTCCCGCTCTAGCCGGTTTGGCTCAATGGATAGAGTGTCAGCCTGTGAACTGGAGGGTCCAGGGTTTGATTCCGGTCCAGGGTTTGATTCTGATCAAGGGCACATGCCTGGGTTGCAGGCTCAATCCCTAGTAGGGGGTGTGCAAGAGGCAGCCAACCAATGATTCTCTCTCATCATTGATGTTTCTATCTCTCCCTCTTCCTTCCTCTCTCTCTAAAAATCAATAAAAATATTTTTTTTAAAAAAAGAACCACCTTTTCCCCTTTTTAGTAATTAGTGGTTCATTTAGGGTCATCAGAGAAAATGTTGGTTTTAGGATTTTTTTCCCCAGGTACTTCCTGAAAGCAGAAGTGAATGAATTTCCTGAAAGTGTTTTGGGGTTAGGCCAGTTTTTGTATTTATTTTTCTATATTGCTGAATAGTAAAATCAAGTTGCACAAAAATCAATAATGTGACCCCATGATGTTAAAATATGTACACATACATGCATATGCCTAGAAGATTTGTAGAAAGACACATAAAACACGAAGTGTTAGCTTGTGAGAAGAGGGAGGGTGGTGTATCCTTCTGTACTGCTTTGATTTTTTTGCTATAAACATGTATTTTTTAAAATAATTTTTAAACTTATGATTTCTAAGATGGCTTTTTCTCACATCACCCACCTTTTAGATGTTCTTTCAGTGGCCTCTCACCATGTCCCTGCGTCTCCCACTGATACAGGGAACGTGCTGGCTGGTCTTTTTCCCTCTCGTCCGTCTAATGCCTCACTCCTGTCTGCTCTGCGCTCTCAGTGTATCTCACAGGCCGTAGAACTTGGGGCCCTTAGCACGCGGTGCGTTTCCTCTCACAGATGTGACCCGAGGCCCCCGGGGCCTCTCCCTGCCCCTCTCATCTCAGCTGGATTGTCTCCTGTCATGAGGAGCTAAGAGTGGCCAGGGTGAGCGGCCTGATTGTCTCATAGGTTTAGCATCGTTGTGCTAACGGGGCCTGCTCTTTATTACCTAAGTATTGTTTATACTAAAGCGTAACTGATGTTATAGTCTGAGGCTCACGTCATATTGTAGGGGGAAGAGTCCCATAATTCATAAAACACCCAGACCTGGGCTTGGGGTTCCTCGATCTGAGAAGCTCGGGGCACCTCTGGTGACGGCCCCGCACACGGGAGCGGTGGCAGTGCCACGTGGACACTTGGCCTTCATCTTGATGTTTAACACTTGTTATCTGGAACTCATTAGGGAATTTAAACTGAAAGGTAAGGTGGTGTTTTCTTTATAAGATTCCTGCAGCCTCAGAGACAAGTTACTAAAATGACGGGACCATGACCTTGGTCATGACCCGGGCGCAGAGCTGCGAGGCTGTGCAGGTGAGCCTCGCCATCTGCTGTAAAACTCACCCGGTTTCGTTGACGTCTCCGAAGTCCTGGACTAGGGGTGCACAGCAGCTTAACGACGTGAGCTCTGGCTGTTTCCTCGCTTCCTGGGTCCCTAACTGCTCTCCCCTCGATCCCCTAGGTTGTGGAAAGGAGGAGAACGCCCGCCGAAATCAGAGAAGAATTTGAGCGGCTGCAGAGAGAGCGGGAAGAGAGGAGGCTGCAGCAGCGAACCAACCCCAAGGTGAGCCGCCCCGCCCGGGTGTGGAAGGCTGCAGCGCCCACCGAGGGCAGGTCAGCATCGTTAGGTGCTGGTGGTGTCAAAAGGAGTACCATGCAGAACAGCCTATGGGGGAGGGCAAAACCACTCCCCTGGGTCTCCCAGAAGCCAAGGAGACTCCGAGCAGAAACTCGGCTCGCTCTCTGCGACGTCTGTCTGGCCGTCCTGCGGAAGCCTTGACTGTGGAAATCAAGTTAGAGGCTGGTGTCGGGAAGGGAAGCACGAAGCACAATGAGCAACAGGCTCCTTGTGCCAATCAGGACTCGGAGAGCCGGGCGATGCGGAGGGGCTGGGCCGGTTCCCAGCTGCACCAAGCAGGGGCCCGTGCTCATCACCCAGGACAGCGGGGCCACGTCGCCAGTCCCCAGGCTGCTCTTAAGTGATGAGGTGACCTTTAACTCCATCAGGTCCCTGGCGGAGCTTATGTCATGTAATCAGTGACTCCCGAGTCTGGGTTACGTTTCAGGCCTGCATATGCATTCTTTTTCCTTTGATTTGTTGGGGAAGCAAATGGTTCCGAGTGCGTGCCCCAGCCCTGTGGCTAATGGCTACTTGCATGTGGCCCGATGATTCTGTCCCGCTGTTTAGCCAGGGGACTCCGCAGCCAGGCTCCGTCAGTGTGGCTGGGGTGGCCTGGCAGGCAGCCTGAACATCTGTGGCAAAGAGCAGGTGCGAGCTCACAGCTGGGGAGCACGGTGATGTGAACTTCTGGTCAAATACGTTCTAGAAGGTGGAAGGCCCTGCAGCATTGAAAGGACTGAAGGTTTAGAAACCTCCGTCTATTTGCGTCCCACCTTTCAGAGTGCAGAGCACATGCCAACCCTCTCCTTCCACCCCCTCCCCTCAGCTGTGGCTTCGGTGGTGCACTGTTGGCTCTGGGCGGGTGGCGTCGCTGCTGCATCAGCTCAGGGCGTGCGAGGTCGTCAGGAGGCTGAACACCTGGGTAGTGCCCTGAGCTGGTGGTCCCTTCGGCTCTCCCGGCTGGTGCTGGGCGGGTCTGGTTGAAAGGTCAGCATGGGCAGATGGAGGCGAGGGTGGAGGGCATGGGAGGGAGCCTGGCCGGAGCGGGCTGTGGCGCTGGTGTCTGCTGTTCTGGCTGGAGTTTTGCAGCATTTGGAGCAGGGAAGGGGGAAAGGACGTCCCAATAGCCTGAGCCCGTCCTGTGATGAAATCGCCATCTGGGTGTGCACAGTGATGGCGCTGGGATCTGTGTGAATGTGCCTCCGGGCCCTGCTCTGTGGAATGGGTGCAGCTGTGACCACTCCACCAGCAGGCCAGCGAGTGGGAAACCCCGGCACTTTGTCCCGCCTGGAACTGCCGCCAAGTCCGCAGGATGTCTTCTAACCAGCAGTTCTGAGCCATGACCAGACGCTGGCTCCACAGTGTTTTGAGGAGGGTTTCAAACTGGACCTTTGGTCCCATTTCTGAGTGTTCTGCTTTTCAAGGTGAGTGGAAAGGTTAAGAACATTCTTATCCTGAGAAGAAAGGGGTGATCTCTTTTAAGGAGACCATAGGAAGGAGGACCCTTCAGGCTCAGCACTGCCCCCCCGCCCCCGCTGACCCAGGAAGGATCACAGCTCGTGGGGATCGGCAGATGAGACAACATTCGTGAGCTGCCATCTGGAGCCAGATGGGTATTTCTCTCTGTTTCCTCAACAGGAGGCCGTTGGCAGGGGTTTTCAGTAGGATGTGCGTGCCAGGAACGGGGGGCATCGTACAGAAGTTCTGATCTGAAACTGATGGGCCCAGACAGAGCATTGGACCGTGTGTGGTTTCCTCACTCATGAAAGGAGCATATCTGCCCTGACTAGCACACCAGGTTGTTAAATGGTTGAGGAAAGAGGAGTAGATACTGAATTAGTAGAGCAAGGCGAGCTGCCACAGAAACGCAGAGGGTGCTGGGCCCAGCGAGGCTAGGGGCTGGGTTTTGTTTTAGTGTTTCGTGCAACACCGCAGGGGGAGCCCCTGGCTGGTCAGGCGGTTCCCTGGCCTGGGGCGCTGGGTGTGGGTGGGGTCGTGGATAGCACTGTGGGACAGGAATGAGTGGAACCCCAGCTCCAGTGTGTGGAACACGCACGCCTACGCTGGAGGCAGTGAGGTAGAGCTTCCGGGTTGGGGGTCAGATCCCGCCCTCCGGCCTTCACTCAGTTTCTCTCCCTGTGAAAGGGGGGTTTGCCATGAGGCCCACTGCTTGGGGTCAGAAGTCCTTAGTTTGATTGCCTCTAATCTCTGCCTTTGCTGTGGGAACAAACTCCTCTGTATTCCCAGCAGGGACAGGGTCCAGGGTCTCCTGGGTCGTCCACACTGATGGGAGCACCTGCCACCTCCCTCCGTCTCTGAGGTCTGTTTTGTTGGCGCACTCCGTCCCATCTCCTGCCTTAGAGAGACTAAGATCATCCAGTGGGCGGCTCAGTGCCGTCCTCATTCATCTTGGTTATTTCAGTTCCTTCTTTGGCAGCACCCACAAGTCTTGTCTCCAGGGACAGCAGCCTCTGTGAGGGTCTTTGAAGACAGACCTCAGGAGCCCTGAGGGACGGGTGCTGCCTTCCCGTGAACTGCCCGCAGCCCCCGACGCCGAGCCTGCGGGAGGACTCTGGGGAGCTTGATTGTGTGTCTCTGAGGGTAGAGCTGCTTCCTTTGTTGACCCTGTTGCGTAACAGTTTCATGGAGATTGTCCCAGTGTTTCCTGGACCGTCCCATTAGCCTCTCTGATTTTAAAAGGCCATCTTCTCAATGGTTCCTGTAATAGCTTAGAAACAGTTCAGCTCTATCAGAGAAAAAATTAAATCATGTATCAAGGAAGACATAGAACCATAAAAACACTTTTAAACCCCAAAATGTTTTCATAAAGATAGATGAGTACATTACTCAGTTATTTTGAAAGGATTTTTTAAAGATTTGTTTTGGTTGCCACGGCTAATGATTATAGCCATCGGAATGGCCTGTGGTTATGACTGCAGCTTGCTCGGTGGAAGCGATCCTGGTGTCATAAACCGACTCGGCTTCCGCAGGATCATCAGCGGAGGAAAAGCAGGCCAAACCCATCTGCTCGCTGTGCGCGGTGCAGGAGGGCCGTTTGCCGTATGCAGCGCTGGGCTGCGACTGAAATGGAAGAGATTGGGAAGCTGTCATTCAAAGAAAGGGACCGCGCGTGGCAAGTGCTGTGACATGGGGTGGAGCCTCTGCCGAGAGCGTGAGGGGCTGGAAAGGTGCTCAGACAGGGAGGCGTGGGGCACCGGAGGGTATGGCTGGGACCCAGTAGTTCTGAGAAACCTGTGAAGTTTGGTTTGGGCCTCCATGACATTGGGGAACCCGGGTTCTGCTTGGATCTCAGAATGCGTCTGGAGCCGGTGTCACCGGAGGCGCCACGGGTTCGTTCATCTGCTGTAATAAAGTGAGCGAGCGGCACGTCGCCTCTCAACGGAATTGCCTCTCGGGGTGGGATTTTCAATCAGTAAATTGCTGCTATTGAGATTGCATTTGACAGAAATTTCTCACATTATCCTTATGGCCACATAACAGAACATAAACATGGAAATGGTTCGGAATGGAACACGCCTGGCTGAAGGACAACTGACTACTCAGGGAGGGCTGACTCAGGCGTCATTTCCAACCTGCTCAGGCCTCTCGACCTGGGTAAAGGGCTCGAACTGGGCGGCCTCCCCTGGCCTGGCTGGGGCTTCCTCGCAGCCTGGCAGGCCCAGGGCACGTGGGTGTTCCGTGTGGGCCCGAGGCCCCCGTGGAGTCTGCCGTCACCTCCACTGACTTCTGTTGGGCAAAAGCAAGTCCTGGCCAGTGCAGAGCTGAGGAGAGGGCCCTGCCGGCGGGCGCCGTGGGACCCCGGCGAGGCTGCTTCGGTTCCGCTTCCACACTCACAGCTGTTTTCTGAGGAAGGGACAGGAAAGCCTTTTCTCCTTTCATAACATCGCCTGCCACCTTCATAAAAGTTGTGTTTCTATTTTAATCTCACGTTTCTGACATTTATTTGACTCTTCTCTGTACATCACAGTATTAATTGAGAAAATAGTGTCTTAATTCTAAATTTCTCCGTTCAGAACTTATAAATACTTTGGCCCACGTACTTTCCCGGGCATTGTCTTTTTGCCTCCACTCGGAGTATTTTTCTCTGACAGGTCTCTTATAAATTGTCTGTGATCTTGATGCCTCATCGAATTTAAATGGCACAGAACTGTAGGCTTTTTCAATCTTGTTCCATTCCAAGACAGAATATAAATTAAACTAATTAAAAATGACAGCTTCTCCAAAAGATTCTCACCAAAAGTTAAAATATTCCCTAATGCCACTGTGGAATTTCACAACGAAATCAATTGCTGGAGCTCTGATCATGTTATTTGTTTGGGTTTTCCCTCAAGAGATGAATTTCAGGGTATTCTCAGCGACAGGCCTTATGTTCAGTGATTGCAGTTTCTTCTTTTTTTCAGATATTTTTATCGATTTCAAAGAGAAAGGGAGAAGGGAGAAAGATAGAAACATCAATGATGAGAATCATTGATTGGCTAACTCCTGCACGCCCCCTACTGGGGGTCGAGCCCACAACTTCGGCATGTGTCCTTGACTGGAATCAAACGCAGGACCCTTCAGTCCGCAGGCCTTCGTTCTGTCCACTGAACTAAACCAGCTAGGGCAGTGATTGCCGTTCCTTACATGTTTTTATTTTTATTTTTTATATTTTAAATATTTTCATTGATTTCAGAGAGGAAGAAAGAGAGATAGAAACATCAATGATGAGAATTATTGGTCGGCTGCCTCCTGCATGCCCGCCCCCCACTGGGGACCAAGCCTGCAACCCGGTCACGTGCCCTTGACTGGAATCAAACCTGGGACCCTTCAGTCCGCAGGCCGACACTCTATCCACTGAGCCAAACCGGTTTCGGCTTATTTTTATTTTTTATATTTTAAATATTTTCATTGATTTCAGAGAGGAAAGGACTCAGACATGCCTACCACAGCCTGTAGTGCCAGACTGCAGGTCTTTTGTATTCGGAGTCAGCCTCACGAAAGACGACTGTCACTCTGAATCTACAGAAACGCTCCTGCAGTGTGACACTCGCAGCTGATTTCCAGAGGGGGGCTCGCAGCTGGTTCCGACAGGCGTGCACCGTCACACTGTGGCTAATTCCAAGAATGCCCTGCTCCGTGGGTTCCTTGCTTTAGTGAGAACATTTTACCATGATGCTGTACCTCCCAAAGCTGGTATTTGAGTCCAACCACAAAAATAGGTCTACATTCAGTGTGGGGCTTTTAGACCAAGTTTATAGGAGTGCGTCACCCTCAATAAGTCCAGTGATTACGAAGGTTGATAACTCGACTGGTTGTCTGTTTGAAGCATCTGATGGAGTTTGGGTGTCACATGCAGCCGTGGGGTCTCCTGCTAGAACCAGCACAGGAAGAGCGGGTCCGCTCTGGCCGGTGTGGCTCAGTAGGTAGAGCGTCGACCTGTGGACCGAAGGGCCCCGGGTTCAATTCCGGTCAAGGGCACGTGCCTGGGTTGCATTTTCAGTCCAACGTGCAGGAGGCAGCCAATCAATGATTCCCTCTCATCACTGATGTTTCTATCTCTTCCCCTCCCTTCCTCTCTGAAATCAATAAAAATATATTTTTTTTAAAAAGCGGTGGCTTCATCTTTCATTCCTGCGTCAAACTTTAGGGGGGAAAGTGAGTGCAGTTAACGGAGGAACGACCACGGGCTCTCCCTGAAGTCGTTGCACAGTTCCGTGAAACATGCCTGCGTTCTTAAAGAGCAGCTGGCGAGATGGGGGAGCTGCCTGAGCAAGCACGCGGGTTCATGTGTGCCGTCAGCACTGTGGGTGGTCAGTCCCGGGAAACAGTCAGCTTACCAAAGCTCAGTAGCTTTCTGGGGAAATGAAAACTTAGTACTTTTTTTTTAATCCTCACCTGAAGACATGCTTACTAAATTGTAGAGAGAAAGAGACAAAAACATTGATCAGTTAGTTGTCTTTCCATACACACCTGACCGTGGATCGAACCCGAAACCTAGGTATTGTGCCCTGACTGGGAATTGAACCTGCAGCCTTTTTTGGTGTACAGGATGATGCTCCAACCAACTGAGCCACGCCGGCAAGGCATACTTTTTTTTTTTTTTTTTTTTCTTTAACCTAGCTGGTTTGGCTCAGTGGATAGAGTGTTGGCCCGAGGAATGAAGGGTCCTGGGTTCAATTCCAGTCAAGAGCCTGTATCTTGGTTGCAGGCTCAATCCCTCGCCCTGGTCGGATCGCTCAGTTGGTTGGATTATCATCTGTACACCAAAAGGTTGCCAGGTTGATTCCTGATCGGGGTTCATACAGGAGGCAGCTTATCGGTGTTTCTCACCTCTTTCTTTCCCTTCCTCTCTCTCTCAAAAATAAATAAATATATATATATGTACACACACACACACACACACAAACATCGTGTGAGGATAATAAAAGATATGCCCATTTGAAAAGTCTTATGACAACAAAATAATAAACATTGATTTTCTGAGTAAGGAACATTTTTATCAGTCAGCAAAATTTTAACTTAGTACTTCTTGAGAATATGGTGTTCTGTTTCTCAAAACTTAATTCTCAAATTAATGTTCACAGGCGGAACAATTTTTCGTTTATTCAAAATTTGTTTGCACTTCTTTACCCTGGAAGGTATTTTTATGTTTTTAAGTAGTTTTGTGATGTAAGAATATTTACAAGAAAGTCTTTAATCTGTGTAGCTAGTTTCTAGGTTGTTTTATTAAATCTGGAGACAATCTGTTTAGAGCCATGCAGTGGGTCCTATTTGGTCCCTGGAAATCAAATTGTGTAGATTTTTTTTATTGATTGATTGATTTTAGATAGAAACATGGATTTGTTGTTCCACTTACGTGTGCATTCATTGGTTGATTCTTTTTTCTTTATTGATTAAAGTATTACATATGTGTCCTTATCCCCTCACCCCCCCCCATCAATTGACTCTTATATGTGTCCTGCCCGGGGATCGAACCCGCAGCTACATTGTGTGGATCTTAGTTCTTTCCCTAACACTCATCTTTGGATGCCCTTCACCTGCAGGCGACAGGCTTTCCGACTTGAAGTCGGTGGAGTTCCGCTGCTGCTTGCCCTGAGCTGTGACGTCCATGCTCCGTGGCTCATGGGGGGGTCCTGCTGGGACCCAGGGGCCGCGGCTGAAGGTAGTGCATTGTCTCCTTCCACGATGCCTCCCCTGTGCTGACTGCTCGCTTCTCTGCCCCAGGGGACCATCAGCGTCGGCATCGATGCCACTGACCTCTTCGATCGCTATGAGGAGGAGTACGAAGATGTGTCCGGCAGTGGCTTTCCGCAGATTGAAATTAACAAGATGCACATATCCCAGTCCATCGAGGTACAGCGCACAGACGCCCTGAGTGCAGCGGGCTGGGTTAACGAGGGAGTCTTCCTGGGGTTTTCTCACCTTTATTTAGGAAAGGATGCAGTGAGCCCCTGAGAAAAGAGAGCTGTAGCCCCAGCCTGTGTGTGACTGCAGCCCCAGTGCCGGCAGAGGCTGGGGATCTGCAGGGGCCTCTCTTTGGTCTAAGGGCTCAGGGCGTTCAGTCAGGAAGTGCAATGGCCTGGGAGCCAAGGTGATGGTGGTTCTGGGGGAGAGCAGACCTCGTGGGCAGTTCCAGGGACCGGTCCACACTCTCCTGTGCTGAAAACACAGTATTCAGCAGAGCCCTGGGGGCACTGAAATGTCGTCTGTCTGCCCACTATTTGGATGTGGCAGTGCCAGGCCAGTCTACTGAGGGTACAGTGGGTCTCTGCTTCTCATCTCATTTGTTCTCAAGCACATCAGCCCAGAACCTGAAGGCCTAGCTGTCGGCAGGGCCACGGGAAGGCACAGAGCACACTGCTGCCGTGGCCACACTGAAGGCCAGCACTGAGCTTGCTGCCTCCCTGGTTTTTTGACATTTGCCCATTAAAGCTTTTACAAGCCATGACCTTGGGGGCCACATGCAGTTCAAATGGCGAAGAGGGGAGAAGGGAAGCCTCCCTGCACCCCTGACTGACAGTGGGGTCACCTGCACTGGGCCTTGCTCTTACGAGGCGTTAGGCTAGTCCCTGGGGTGCTGCCCTGGGCACTTCCTGTTGCTTGGACTCCTCTGTCACCAGCACCTGTCATTTCCTAGGCACCCTTGACAGCGACGGACACAGCCATCCTCTCTGGAAGCCTCTCGACCCAGAATGGGAATGGAGGGGGCTCCATTAACTTCGCGCTCAGACGGGTCACCTCTGCGAAGGGATGGGGAGAGGTAAGCCCGTCAGCTGGTGGGCCATGTCTGTCCCAGAGACTGACTTTTGAACATTTACACTAAAAGCTGACCCTCCGATGACCTAGGTTGGCCTTATCGCTGTACAGGGTACCAGGTGTCAAACTTAACCAGGTAACTTCCAAGAGAAAAACGTCTCCGATCCGAGAGGGAACCCCGACTGCCGAACAGCTCAGTCAGGCCGGAGCAGCAGATTCCCGGAGACGCCCACTTCCAGAAAGCGAACCTCTGGAACTCGGCGGCTTTGTTCCCTTTAAGCAAAACCTGTAGGCTAGTTCGTTCCCCACACAGTCAGAAGGCAGTGCCCGGTCCACTGGTTGGCAGTCATTTAACAGCCAGCTCCACCGAGCAAATTGAACGGCACCAAATTAACATTGAAGAGTTGCCTTGAAAGTCACCCAGTCTAGTAAATGAGGCAGCCAGGGCTGGCAGCTTCCAGGCTGTGAGTCAGAACCGCTCATGGGTTTAACGTCAGGCCCCTGAGAACCATCGCCAGTCACCTGAGACCTGTGGGTGGCGAAGCTGAGCGGAATGGAAATGCGGATGGCCCTGCGAGGGCCGGGAGGACCCCACCGGACTGCACAGCAGGCGCTCTGCAGACATGGGGGCCAGTCTCCCCTGCCTCCCTGAGCTGGGGGGAGGTCGGAGCAGGTCTCCCTGGAGGGAGGGGCTCCTTTCTGAAACGCCTCAGTGGACAGGCATCACCGTCTGGCAGAGGCCAGGATGGGACAGTGAATCCGCAGCCCCTGCCTTGGGAGCCCTGCTGAGGCCGGTGCACGGCATCGGGTGGAGGAGTCCCAGCGGTGCCGGCCTGAGACCTGGGCTGCTGCTGGAGATGAACCACCTCTAACGCTTCTCTCTTTCCTTTTCTGAACAGTTAGAATTTGGAGCTGGGGATCTGCAGGGGCCTCTCTTTGGTCTAAAGCTGTTCCGTAACCTCACGCCCAGATGGTAAATATACAGAGATTAACCCTCTTTGAGGCCTTTGTGGATTGGAGAACAGAGGCTATGTGATCTCTTTGTCAAGGTCATCTGGATTTGCCGGCTGCCCTGTGGGTCACTAGGCAGGCGCTGAGGCTGTGCGAGTAGGGTGCACAGAGCCCTGGTGGGCCTGCTCTGCCCGGTGGTCTGCAGTCCTCTGGGGCTGTGAGGACCCCGAGACTGGGGAGAGGTGCCTTCATAGGGACATTGGTTAGCGTCTGACACATTCATGAGCTCGGGCACCATTTCTTTGTCCCCGAGAATGAGGGTAAAGCTCTGAAAGCGGCCCCGTGAGCAGTGGAGTTTGGGAGACCCCTGTCTGTGGAGCGAAGGCGCCAGAGCTTTAAGCCCTGGGGCCCTGGTGTCACACTCCTAAACTCCCTCCCTGTCCCTTCTGGAACAGCAGGGGTGTCCTCATCGCACTCACTCGGGGGTACTGTGAGCTCAGGTGAGGATGTAGGGGAAGGTAAACCAGCTCTTTCCTCGGGTGGTGACATGTAGCCCCAGGAGGCCTGGGATGGGAGCTCGCTCCAATGGGGTGGTGACGGCCACGCTGCAGGGGAGACCGGCCCTGCCCTGTGGTGTGTAGTGAAAGTAGCTCCGCAGGTCCATCCCACACGGAGCGGAAGGGGAGTGGGAGCTAGAGGACGTCACCGGGACAGGAGAAGAGCACAGTGTGGGAAGATGGGCGCGGCCTGGGCAGAGAACGCAGGGCGGGGCTCCAGGCTCCCGATATCCTATCAGTAGAACCCAGCTTCCCCCACCTCTGCTCTAGGACTTGGACCAGGGTCTGGGAAGGGGCAGGATTCATACTTTTGTTAACGTAAAAAATCATTGAAACCTGTAAAGAATTTTTGTGAGTTTGTTTGAGCCAAACTGTCACCATATGCCGGAAGCAGAGCCTCAACGAATTAAGATAATGCGCCGGAGAATGGCGGGTTACATCCGTATTTATACATTCCAATCAAAGGAGGGGCGTAGGTGGGTTTCATGAAATCCATTGGTGATAGACTAGAGAGGCGGGAGCAAGCAAAGTGGGGAAACCCTTGGGATTGGATAAAAAGTAAAATGATAGACACATTCTTAGGTGGGTGCAGGAACAATTAACATGATAATGAAGGAATTTGTGGCATTTGTCCTGGTGTCCAGCACATTAGGTTGTGCCCCAAGGGGTCCAGAAAAGTTACCCAGACATTTCAAGGGTGTGTTAAAAAAGACACATAGGCTTAGTTAAGGTAAAGGTTGACCTTGTTAGTGAAGATACCGGCCTAGGCTATAACTACCCACCATAACTGCTTTTAGTTAAAGTTTAATTTCAGACCATCCTTTGTGGTTACTGTAGGTCTCTGAGTTTGCAAAACTGCCATGCAGGCCTCCCCTGAGCTTGTCAGGTCAGCATGTGGCCCCTTCCGTCCACACTTTAACCAGAGCATCAGGTGAGCAGTGTCTATGTGCGTGTCTGCATGGCCCCGGCCTTGTCTGCCTAGGGTTGTCACCTCTGCCCCAACCCCCCATTTGAGCAAGCAGAGCAGGGCGTTCTGAAGATTGGACACGTGAGGAGACACTTGAAGAAAATCCATTAGCCATTTCGTCTAGTTGAGCCTCCAAATGTGCACAGAGTGGGCACCGGGGTCTAGGGCTGGCTCGTCGTCAGCTTTGCAGGTGCGGATACTCCAGCAGAGCCTCCAGGTCAGCAGACCTGAATGGAGATTCCTAACAAGGACCCTGGGTCGTCAGTGTGCGGGGTCAGCTCTGAGGGCGCCCTCATCCCAGCTCCGCTTCCCTGTGAGTCCAGATGAGTGATCAGAAGCGTTTTGTGTGGAATCGGCCCTAGAAAGGCAGCCATGTTCTGCGGAAGTTCTCGGTCTCTCCCAGGGTCTGTCTCTCTCTAGGACATGCTGGATGAAGATAAACAGGGTCTCGCTCTTTATATTTTGGTTTTTTTAAATGTCACTGTGTCACTCTGTCTTAAAGTCCAGGGGTGACTTTTCCCTCTCTTCCTGCTTCCTCCCCGGTGTGACTAAAGCAGAACACATAGCCTGTGGGTGTGACAGGAGGAGCTAAATGCCAGGGGAGGTTAGTTTGGGCCTGAGGAGGGCAGAGCTCGTTCACGTGGCTGTGGGGAGCCATTGGAAGCCTGTGAGAGGAGCGAGTGTGATCACAGTTACCACATTTGCTATTTTAATGGCAAAAGGGACGCCTCAGAGCTTGGGAAGAAGAGAGACACTAATTTAGGCAATCTAGTGCCTGCGGCTGGCTGCGAAGGCACCCTGTTTGCTCCCCTTTGAACACCTTCAGTCAAATGGTGTGAATGCCTTTGCTTCTGACATGAAATGCCCCTTTTTAACCAGAAGGTGGGGCTGGCTCCCCGGGAACAAGCTGCAGAGGCCTTTCCTGGAATGGCTTGCTGTGTGGGGTGCTGGCCTGAGGCGCAGCCTGCACCACACTTCATTGTGACACTGATGAGATGCTGCAGGAACTGGACTCCTGTGTGTCAGTCAGCCTGTGGGAAAGCTGGTTTCGTTATCCGTCGTGTAGCTTAACAGTCACAGGACCTACGGAGGACACTGAGGGAGGGCTCGGGCACCAGCTCCCAAGTAGCTTCAGTCCGTGGGCGGCCGTCAGCATCCCGTGGGCAGGCTTTGCATGCCTGGGCCCCCCGACATTCCGGCTGAATTGGTCTGGGTGGGCTCTGGGCAGTGGTTCTCAAACTGCTGCAGTGAGTCACCTGCAGCTTTGAACGCTCCACCCAGAACACCTGGCAGGAGACTCGAGGCGAGGCTGGTGTGCGGCTTCCCAGGCGATCCTGACTTGCGTGGGCCTGGCTTCCTGGCTCAGTGCCTCTCTGGGGGCTGAAGTGGGAATGGGTGGGATGGGGGGTGTAGATCAGCAGGGTGATAGTGGGAAGATTCCACTGAGTTGCCCTTTGTCTCCCTCTTACAATAGAGGCTCGGCCTCCTGCTCTCCGTGCCGGGGCCTGGCCGGGGGTCATGGGCGTGCTGTGAGCAGGGTCTTAGCAGGGAGGAAGGGGCTGGGAACAGCTGAGAGCCCACGTCATCCAAGACCTTTCTGTCTGTCGTGTGTGTCCCCCCCCAGCTTTGTGACGACCAACTGTGCGCTGCAGTTTTCGTCCCGGGGGATCCGGCCTGGCCTCACCACTGTCCTGGCTCGGAACCTGGACAAGAACACCGTGGGCTACCTGCAGTGGCGGTGGGGCATCCAGTCGGCCATGAACACGAGCATCGTTCGGGACACCAAAACCAGCCACTTGACCGTGGCCCTGCAGGTGAGGCACGTCAGCCCACTCCCTCAGCCCCGCTCCCTCAGCGTGCCCTTGGCAGCCCTGCCCGAATCTGAGCACCCAGGGAGCTCGGGGGCGGGTCCCTCTCGGGGGCTGAAATGCCATTGTTCTCAGGTTCCCAGGGTAGCTGTGTCCAGTATCCTAAAGCCGGGGGAGGGGAGCACCCCAGGTGGGCAGGTGACCCAGAGCAGAGCCGTGCACTCAGATGCCACTTTGGCTGGGCAGGGAAGTGAGACAGGCTCCCCCTCAGAGGCAGCTCTCACCAGCTGCTGCCATGCAGGCTCGGTGCTAGAAGTTATTCTCATGAGAAGGCAGAAAAGGGGGTTCATGTGAAATCTTGTGTGAATATTGGCTCCGGGTACATTTTCCCACCTCGTGGGGCTGCCAGGGGGTGGCCCTGCCGGAGGGGCCTGCCCGCCATGTGTGCCCAGCGGCCAGTCAAGGGTAGTGCCCTCCTGGCCACAGGTCCCAGCCACCGGCCATGTCTCTCCCTGTCTTCTCAGCTCGGAATCCCTCACTCCTTTGCCCTGATCAGCTATCAGCACAAATTCCAGGATGATGATCAGACTCGCGTGAAAGGCTCCCTGAAGTGAGTGCTGGCCCCTGACCCGGAGCCTGCCCACAGGGTCTACAGGGGGAGCTGGTTGGTGGAAGAGCCCGCTCTGTCCACCTGTCACATGTGACATTCTCAAGCGCCTCCTACTGAGAGGCAGTGGGATTCACTCCTGTGGGGGCCCAGGGGTTGAACTCTGACGACCAACTGTGTCCTGGCCTGGTTCTGTCCACTCCCTGTGGGTGGTGGCAGGGCGGGCGGCGGGTGCGGGGACCCACCCCTGTTGTGATGACGGTGCCATCTGCGCCCTCAGGGCAGGCTTCTTCGGGACGGTGGTGGAGTACGGGGCCGAGAGGAAGATCTCCAGGCACAGCGTGCTGGGGGCCGCTGTCAGCATCGGCGTCCCGCAGGGCGTTTCTCTCAAAGTCAAGTAAGTGGGACTCGGGTACCTGTGACCACAGGTCACCTGGCTTCTGTGCTCACCTGGGCTTTACCTACGGGAGGGATGAAACAGGTTTCACTTGCTAATGTTCTCAAAGGAGCGGTTGCCTCTTCTGTCTTTGGTGTTGAAGCAGATGTCAGGGAGCCCATGAACTCCCCCCTCAGTTAGTGAGGCCCGGCTTCCACGGTCTGCGTCTCTTGCTGCCCCTGCGTCCCTGGCGGCCTGGACACCTGGCCGGGTGCCGGCTCCATGCCCCCCTCACCGACACCACACGCTCCTCCAGCGTCCTCGGCAGCACAGGCAGCGGCGGTTGTCCCTCTGCACCGGTCCTCCCTGTCCCTCTGCTGCCTCTGGCTTTACCTGGCCAGTTGCTTCTGATCACACAGCCTGAGAAATGGCGCCTCGCGCTGCCCTCCTATGTGTGAGTGACTGGGAACCCTGATCGGCCTTCACACAGACACGGGTTGTTACAGTGCAAGGCCGCGGAGGCCGCCCTTCTGCGGAAGCCCAGGCACTGCCTCCGTGGGGGCAAAAGCCAGGTCTTGGGCCCCTGCGACCTGCTGTCTGGCTAATAAGTACTTCACTTTTCGAAGAACCAGATTGTGGCTTTGCTCATTTTCTCTACTGTTGACCTGTTTTCTGATTCACTGATTTCTGATTTTATTTCCTTTCTACTTATTTTGTTTTAATTGGCTCTTCTTTTTCCATCTTTTTAAGGTCAAGCCTTGGATTATTAATTTTAGACTTCTCTTTTGTTGTTAATCCTCACATATTTTCATTGACTTTTTTTTTTTAGAGAGACGGGAAGGGAGGGAGGGAGGGAGACACATCGATGTGAGAGAGACGTCCATGCTGATGCCTGCGTCAGTCGTGTGCTTTCGGTCGCTGTGCAGCATCACGTTGTGTAGATGTCCGCAGTCGGTTTGTCCATCAGTTTAGAGATGTTTCCATTGGCTCAGTGATGAGCATCGACCTATGAACCAGGAGGTCACGGTTTGATTCCCCGTCAAGGGCACATGCCCGGACTCCGGGCTCCATCCCTAGTGTTGAGGGGTGTGCAGGAGGCAGCCAATCAATGATTCTCTCTCATCATTGATGTTTCTATCTCTCCCTTCCTTTCTGAAATCAATACAAATACATATTTTTTTAAGAAGTCGTTTCCATTATTTACAGTTTTTGATGACTACAAAGCCCATATAGGCATTCACGCGTAGGCTTTGTGTGAACAGTGAGTTTTGATTTCTCTTGGGTGAACAGTAGGAGTAGCTGCTGAGGCCTCTGGGAGGTGTGTGCTTACTTTACACCAGTCCCAGCCTCTTCCGAAGCGGGGGTTTTACTTTACTTTCCCAGCAGCAGCACGAGCGTTCCAGTTGCTCCGCTTCCTCACTAGCCTTTGGATACGGTCTTAATTTTGCCTATTTGAGTGGGTGTATAAGTATATCCTGCTATGGGGTTTTTTGTGGGGTTTTTTAAATATCTTTTTATTGATTTTGGGGCGGGGGGGAGGGAGAGGGAGCGGGAGAGGGAGAGAGAGAGAGAGAGAGAGAGAGAGAGAGAGACAATCATCGATTGGCTGCCTCCTGCACGCCCCCTACTGGAGATCAAGGCTGCAACCCAGGCACGTGCCCTTGACTGGAATCGAACCCTTCAGTCCACAGGCCGACTGGCGCTCTATCCCCTGAGCCACACCAGCCAGGGCTCCTGTTAGGGTTTTGATTTTCCTAATATCTAACGATGGCGAGTCGAGCATCTTTTCATGTGCATATTTGCCATCCGTGTATCTTTCTTTAATCTTCATTCTCGCCGAAACCGGTTTGGCTCAGTGGATAGAGCGTCGGCCTGCGGACTGAAAGGTCCCAGGTTCGATTCCGGTCAAGGGCATGTACCTGGGTTGCGGGCACATCCCCAGTGGGAGATGTGCAGGAGGCAGCTGATCGATGTTTCTCTCCCATCGATGTTTCTAACTATCTATCTCTCTCCCTTCCTCTCTGTAAAAAATCAATAAAATATATAAAAAAAAAATCTTCATTCTTGAAAGTATTACAGATGTTCCCTTTTTCCCCCACTGACCCCCTCTAGACCCCCCACCCCTGCCCCAGGCCAGTGAAGTCTGTTTAAACCAGGGGTCCTCAAACTTTTTAAACAGGGGGCCAGTTCACTGTCCCTCAGACCGTTGGAGGGCTGGACTATAGTTTAAAAAAAAACTATGAACAAATTCCTATGCACACTGCACATATCTTATTTTGAAGTAAAAAAAACAAAACGGGAACAAATACAATATTTGTATTTGCATGTGGCCCTCGGGCCGTAGTTTGAGGACCCCTGGTTTAAACCCTTTGTCTGGTTTCTTATTGGTTTGTCTGGGTTATTTTTGAGTTTTGAGTGTTCTTTTTCTGGAGCTACTTTTATTTTTGAAGGGTGTTGTCCTGGACATAGAATTCAGGGTTTTCTCTCAGCGCTCGAAAGGTGATGTTCTGCTTGTCTCCTGGCCTCAGAGTCTCTGATGGAACTCGTTCACCACTGGGACCTGCGTATAATGTCTGTTTTTCTGGCTCCTGCACTTTTGTTTTGCTTCTGTTTTTCAGCAGTTTGGCTGCGATGTACTCGGTGTGGCTTTGGTGTGTCTCTGCTGCTTGGCTTTGGTAAACCTTATGCATTTGTAAACTTAGGTGCTACGTCACATTTGGTATTTTTAGGCCATTAAGTCTTCAAATGCTTATTCCTGCCTCGTTCTCTCTGCTCTCTGGGCCCTAATGACTTGTGTATTAGATCTCTCTCTCTCTCTCTTTTTTTTAAGAGAGTGGAAGGGAGGGGAAGAGAGAGAAAAACATTGGTGTGAAAGAGCCACATTGATTGGTTGTCTCCTACCCGTGCCCCAACAGGGCCTGGGGATCAAGCCTGCAACCGAGGTATGTCCCTTTGACCGGAATCAAACCTGCGACCCTTCCGCCCGCAGGCCAGTGCTCTATCCACTGAACCACACCGGCGAGAGCTGTATTAGATCTCCTGCTGTTCCCGGCGGGTTCCTGAGGCTCTGCCCATTTGGCTTCAGTCCTTTCTCTCTTTGTTCCGCCCACTGAATAGTTTCTGTTGGTCCATTTACAAGGACACTGGCTCTTCTCCTCAACTGGAGTCCGCTGTTGGGCCCAGGAGCCGCCCAATGAATGTGGGTGCTGTGAGCGTAGTTAAAACTTAAACCCTCACCTGTGCCCGAGCTGGTTTGCTCAGTGGATAGAGCGGCGGCCTGCAGACTGCAGGGTCTCAGGTCCAGTCCACTCAAGGGCCGTGTGCGGGAGGCAACCAGTTTTAGCCAGTCAGGTGGTACAGATGAGAGGTGCCCTTAGGCTAAAAGCTGGGGGACAGGAAACCGGCTCCATTCTCCCAGCGCCAGCCTCTTTTGCCCTCTCGAACCTGACCGTCTACCTGAGGGATGATCGGCCCAGTGCGAGCTGCTCAGCCGTTGCTGGAAGCAGAGCCTCCTTAGCTTGCTCACTTCGGGTGTCTGCACACACTCGGACCGGTGGACGGAGGGCCGAGATGTGGCGCTGTCCCCAGGACACTGGGAGGAGTGTCCACTCCTGCCTCCTAAGGCCACACCTGCTCTGGTCAAGCGTTAGTCTGTGGCTTTGCCCTTGAGGTCAGCAGGCGCTGGCTTCCTTCTGTCACATTCACCAAGTCCCGCAGCTAAGCTTTGGACTGGGGTCCCGCACAGGAGAGGGGTTCCTCCCGCCTGGCGTTCGGGGTCTCAGAGGCTCTCTCCCTGGGGCCGAGACCCCGCACCGTCCCTGGAAACCTGACTCACCTTCCATGTGCTGTTTTGTTTTTGTTTTCAGATTAAACAGGGCCAGTCAGACTTACTTCTTCCCTATTCATTTGACGGATCAGCTTCTTCCCAGCGCCGTGTTCTACGCCACCGTGGGGCCCCTCGTGGTCTACTTCGCTATGCACCGTCTCATCATCAAGCCGTACCTCAGGGCTCAGAAGGAGAGGTGAGTTTCAAATGGTCACGGGACGTCACTAAACAACTCTGTGCCTCAGTTTCCTCGACTTTCCAATGGAGATGATACTAATAGGACCCACCCCACATTTCTATCAGGAAAAATATTTAATATGTGCAAAATGCTTAGCATGGGTCCAAAATAAGTCGTCAGTAAGTGTTAGCTATTCTAGAAGTGCTGTTCTTATCCTTTGTCATTCATTCCTACTTTCAGAAAGGACTAGATGGTTTACAAAATTGTTGAGACTTTAAACCAGGGGTTGGGAACGTCTAGCCCACAGCCCATGCAAGGCCCTCGAAGTCATTTGGTCTGGCCTGCTGAGGCTTGAAGGGGGCCTTCATCAGGGAGGTCAGGGTCCTGACTTCCCGGGAGGCTTGAGGCTGAAACAGCATGTGCTGGGTCGAGGCTTCTAACGGGACAGGTGTGTGCTGCCCGGGTCCCTGAGCGTGGCCGAGGGGAGCGTGTATGTATGGATCTGAAGGCGTGTGCGAGTCCTTCCCAGAACGTCATGTGCTAATCCCCGAAGGGTGGCGTCTCCTGTGATGCACCCGCTCTGACCTCCCACGTCCCTGAGTCACTTCAGCTGAGTCTTCTCTCCACGGGGACTGGCAGTGGGTTTCCTGTTTGCTCCGGCGAGGAGGCGGGGAGCCATCCGGGGACACGGCGAAAGCTGCACGGGCCTCTGACAAACAGATTTGCCTGAGATTGTCTGGGAAATATTTTTAAAGTTCTAGGACTAGGAATGCGATAAGATCACAGACTGTTTGCTGGGCACAGGTCCAACAAGGGGTAACACCACGCTAATGTGTGGCTGTGTTTTTGTCGCATAAGGGAATTGGAAAAGCAAAGGGAAAACACAGCTACCGACATCCTGCAGAAGAAGCAAGAGGCAGAAGCTGCGGTGAGTGCCGTCGGTCCCCCGACGTCCTTCTGCTTTCTGTGCTCCGAGCGCTGCGTGCAGCACACACTCTCCTCTGGCCTCCGGGCCCCGGGTCCTTCACTCGGTCTGTCCTCAGGCCTGGGCTCGGGCTGCTTCCCGCAGCTGCACTCGCACTGCAGTCTTTATATCGCCACTGGCGTGTGCTTCCGGGAGCTGCAGGCTCAGTTCCAAGGATGAGACTTGTAGCCAGGTGTTGTTTTCACGTGGTGGGTAGTGCCCCCTCTCCCTTCCCCTCACGTGACTTGTTTTTACGTGACGTAACAGAGACGTCCAGGATAAGTGACCGTACTGCTTGGTCCCTGTGGACAGGGGAGGCTGTGTCTCTGAACAAAGAGGTGGAGCCCGGCGAGGGCCCTGATGGCCGCCTGCCCCGTTCTTTGCAGGTTCGGTTGATGCAGGAATCTGTCCGAAGAATAATCGAGGCAGAAGAATCCAGAATGGGTGAGAAGGCATGGCCTCTCTTGGGACAGGGTGGGCGAGGGGGATCTCAAAGGAGCACCCTGCTCCTGCAGTCCAGCTGCGGGTGGACGGGAGTGAGGGTGTCAGCCGGCCCCTCCCCGCCACACACTCTGACTGAACCCGTCCTCAGGCCTCATCATCGTCAACGCCTGGTACGGGAAGTTCGTCAACGACAAGAGCAGGAAGAGTGAGAAGGTGAAGGTGATTGACGTGACGGTGCCCCTGCAGTGCCTGGTGAAGGACTCGAAGCTCATCCTCACAGAGGCCTCCAAGGTACAGCGCCAGGCCCCACAGGACTCAGACAGAAAGGCTTCTGGGGACAGTGGCCACTGGGAATGGCCATATGACCATTTCATCGCATCAGAGTCCTGCCCAATCTCATACCCAAGTTATGTCCACGTTGGAGCAATTTACTTCATGCTTTCATCCATCCATTCACTCAGCAAGTATTTACTAAGCACCTACTATGTGCCAGTCACAGCAAACAAAACCCCTCTGCTCCCTTTCAGGGGCCCCCAGCATTTGCGGTCTCCCTCCTTTCCCCGGTGCATTACCTTGGCCTTTCCCTCTCCTGAGCTCCAAGGGCCCTTCCTTTGCTTCTGTCACGTGTTTCCTGAGCCTGCAGAGGCCATACCTCTGAGCTTTCTAAATGAGCTTTCTCTTAGAATTTGAAAAACAAAACAAAATGTACATCCTGCCTTCGTGGAGCTTGCCTGCGGCTTACTGCTCGCCTTGTGCCAGAGGCGTGTGAGGCCACCTAGCACAGCTGAAGCTCACGCTGGAGCCTGGGGTGTGGACAATGAAATTGAATTAAAGTTCAGATTCCCACCCTGGCCTGTGTAACGCAGTGGTTAGGGCATCAGCCTGCACACCGGAGGGTCGTGGGTTTGATTCTCGGTCAAGAGCACGGACCTGGGTTGCAGGTTCAATAATTAGTCCTGGTCCTGGTCAGGGTGTGTGTGGGAGGCAACCAACCGATGTGTCTCTCTCATATCGATGTTCCCTCTCTCTCTCTCTCTCTCTCTCTCTCTTACCCTCCCCCCTCCCTCCCACCCTCTCTAAAATCAGTGGGAAGGATATCCTCTGGGGAGGATTAACAAAATGCGTATCTCTATAAAGTGCAGGTGCACTCAAGGCCAAGAGCTCCTAGGCCCCTGAGACGCCTTCCAGTGTGTCTGTCTTGGTGGGGCTTCCGTGACAATAGTGGTGTATTTGGGGGGCGTGGCATGTTGAGAGGGAGGCTAGGACTAAATAGGCAGTTTTTTCAAATTCTCATTTCTTTCTCCTCAAGTGGCCAAGTGTGCGCCTTCCGAGGGAAGAAGGCCCTTCCGAGGGCGGCCTGCAGCGGGGGAGCAGGCGGTGGGCGTGTGCATTTAGACACCTGTCTCGGGCCCCCCTCGAATCAGGGTCTCTGTTCCAGGCTGGGCTGCCCGGGTTCTACGACCCGTGTGTGGGCGAGGAGAAGAGCCTGAAAGTGCTCTACCAGTTCCGGGGCGTCCTGCACCAGGTGATGGCGCTGGACAGCGAGGCACTCAGGATACCCAAGCAGTGTGAGTAGCTGCCCCGTGCAGGGACGGGAGAGGCCCTCCACTATGACGGGGACCGGGACATCCATGTGGAGCCACAGCCACCTGCCCACCCTTTCCGCCTGGGAGCACACGGGTGTGGGCGACTCCCTCGGGCCTGGGATGCGCTGCCCTGGGGGTCGGTCTTTCTCAGGTGGAATGACAGGGAGCGCTTTCCTTGAACTGCAGCTCAGGTGGCAGGGTATGAAGCAAACCCAGCTGTTCCTTTACGTTCCAGAATCATCCGCCGGGCCTCGGGTCTGCTGGTGGCTGCACCCGAGTAGAGGCAGGCTGTGGAAACAGTTGCCTTTTGCTGCACCGAGTCTGTCTTTTCTCTTGCAGCTCACAGGATCGATACAGATGGATAAACTGCTTGAGAAAAAGAATTACAGGAGGCTGCAAAGATCTTTTCCTGGGCGTCTATAAATTTGGAAGCAGGGAAACCCAGACGTCACAAGTTCATTTTATATTATTCCTAACGAGGTGGTACCGTATCAATTATGTGAAGGGACACAGACACCCTGCTTTTGTGGGTGCTGTAGGCAGACTGAGGCAGCCCTGCCAGGACCAGAACCTCAGCACAGCCGTGTCTGTTTCCCAAGGATCATGTGCCCGAGGGAAGGGCCCTGGGCCCCGGGCGCCACCCCATCGTTCTTGGTCTGTGAGGAGGTCGCCGTGGAACATCTGCCCTCACACAGGACCGGGACTGCCTTTCCTGACACCACCCTGACCTGGAAAGGAAGGAAAGAACAGTCTGCAGCCAAGCGAGCATCTGGGTGGTCGACTTGCGGAAACCGCCTTTTCCTGCTGAATATGGAGGAGCGTGGGTTTATAAATCTGCTTTTTATCTGAGAACAAATGGCTTGGGAAATTAATTAGTCTCTTCTGTCCTCCCAGAACTTCTCCAATCATTCCACTGGCACCTGGCTTGGGCCAGAGCAGTGACCTCTGTCCCCAGGCCCATCCCTGTCACGGTCACTTCCTTCCAGGACCTGCCCCCATCCTCGTGGGAAAAGGCGGTGCCCGCCCACCCCATCCCATGGCTCAGCCTGACCTGCTGGTGCCCCACACCACGGTGCAGTGTTGGAGTGAAGAGGGTCGGGGCAAAGGGGAAGCATAGAGGGGCCTAGAGCACCCGCCTCAGACTGCCAAAGCCGCCCGAGCAGCTCCCAGGCCTGCGCCTCGCCCGCGCGGCCAGCAGGTGGCGCGGCTGCTCTGCACACCCGTCTGGCCCAGCTCCCTCAGGAGACGCCTTCCTGGGAGTCTGCTCCCCAGACCTCCTTCCTCTCTACCCTCTTTGGTGTAGGAGCCAGGAAACTGCCGAGCAGCCGGGTCTGTTACCTGTCATGAGAGGCCTGTGGGCGGTGGTTCCGACAGCTTCAGGCTTCACCTGGCACTGGTACCAGTGGAATCGCTAATAACCCCTCCCTGCCGTTCCTCCAGTTTTTACAAACAATTCAGATTTCCAACCCTGTAATATTTATCTCCATTTAAAAAGTCCTCTGAGCTGCTGCTCTGGTTGTGAATCGTGCAATAAGCGTTGCGTGTATCGAGTCTGACTTTGGACCCACCCCGTTCCCTCCGGGCAGGTGGCTCCTCTGGACACCAACTCTTCCTTCTGCCTGAAGGGACTGCAGGAGGCCTCTCTCCACAATAAACCTTCTGAAAGCGGGGAGTGTGGCGTGCGTCTGTGCCCTGTGGAGTGAGCAGAGGGAGGGAGGTGCCCCCTCAAAGGCTGTCCCTCCCAAGCGTCACTGTCCAACTCGCGTCCAACCCTGCGGTGGCCCTGGGAGATAGGCCTGTTTTCCGCACTAGGCGGGACCGGAGGCAGAGTCCAGGGCTAGGGACTCCCTTAGGCGAGGTTGCTTGCTTCTTTTCATTTTTACTAAAACCACCTTTTTTTATAGTCAAAGGTGGTCATGACCTGCCTGCTCTTCAGCGGGAGACAGGAAGTCAGTCTTCACAGCATCACCAAAGCGAGCAGGAGCGAGAACTTCAAACTAGTGTTTGTTTTGATTTTTTAAGTTTAAAAAAAAAAGTTTATTATTGACTTTTAGAGGGGGAGGTAGAGAGAAACATCAATCAATGTGAGAGCAAAACAAGGATCTGATGCCTCCCACAGGACCCCTCCCAGGGATCAAACCAGCAACCTTTTGGTGCATGGGATGACGCTTAACCAACTGAGCCACACTGGCCAGGACTATTTTTAATTTATTTAAATATTTTTATTGATTTCAGAGAGATAAGAACATCAATTATGAGAATCATAATTGCCTCCTGCATTCTCCCCACTGGGAATGGAGCCCACAACCTGGGCATATGCCCTGCCCGGGAATTGAACTGTGACCTCCCGGTTCATAGGTTGACGCTCAACCACTGAGCCACACCAGCCGGGCCCAGGACTATTTTTTAATTATTTGAGAGAGAGAAACATGGGTTTGTTGTTCCATGGATCTGTGCACTCACTGGTTGCTTCTAGTATGTGCCCTGATCGGAGATTAAACCCCCAACCTTGGTGTATTGGGATGATGCTCTAACCAACTGAGCACCCCGGCCAGGGCCAGCGTTTGCTTTTACGTACAGGAGGAAACCCTTTAATGTAGGAAGACGCTTGGTCACCTAGTTCCATCAAACCAGGCCGGGAAGAGGCACTCCTTAGAACAGAGGCCGCTGTCAGCTGGAGAGTTGGCTGTCTGGGCAATGGAGGGCCACTCCTGCTGCCTGAGTCATCTGTCCCCCCTCTGGTGTGGGGTGGGAGTGACCCATGCACTAAGTCCCTCCCCACGGGGGTGTCTGCCACTCTGCTCAGCATGCTGTGGTTCTGAGGACGCTGGCCTGGCTCGTGCTGAATGGACAGCTGGGGCTGTCACCTGGATGACCAAGTTTCTCATGTTCACAGCCCGGCGCCACCGAACCACCTGAGGCCGCGCTGGGCTCCTCACCTGCAGGCCTCGCTGCCACTGTCAGCAGCAGGATGGAAAGGCTCGTGGCCAGAGCCTCCGAACCGGCCCCACCGCCCAGGCTCGATGAGAAAGCCAGGCTGCTGGGCTCAGCTCTGCTGCTCTGGCTGGGGCCCTGCCCGGGGGCCTGGCCGCCCTGCTCCGCGGGCTCGCAGGCGGCAGCACAGCCTCCGCATCACCAGCCTCTGGGCCTTCAAGCGCTTCCGGAGCTTTTCGTTTTCCTTCAGGGTCACAAACAGTTTCTTTTTTAGGGCATCTAAGTCCAAAAGGGCGTAGCTGTGGTCAGATGGCTGTGGGGGGCTGGCCGGCTGAGCAGGGGCCTCAGCTGCTTCCGGTCTACATGGCAGGACCTGGGGACAGTGAGTGGAAGGTAAGCAGGGCCCAGAGGCCACAGCCAGGGGCCTGCAGGCGGCCCTCCAGCAGGAGGGGTGGGAGGGCCTCGGCCTCTTCCCGCAGCGCTCCTGACCCCGAGTCTGCCCACCTGGTGGCTCTTCCTGTCACTGGGAAGGTCTGACGTCAGGGCCACACCCCTGAAGTGATCGGTTTGGGCACTGGTTCTCCTCATTTTATTTGAAACAAATCCCCTCTTGCCGAGACCAACCCTCCATGTGGTGCCTTGGTGCCTGGCCTTACCTGCCCTACAGGGTCTCTGGCGCTGGGAGGCCGCTGCAGCCCTTCGAGGGCTGTGTCCGTCTTTCTCTCTGGGCCGTGCTCCCTGGACTCCGCTTCTGGGAAGACCTGGAAGCACAGGGCAAGGCTGCAGACAGACTGACCCCCAGCACGTGCAGACAGGCCCCCGGCACAAACTGACCCCCAGCACATGCAGACCGGCCCCCAGCACGCACACCTACCTTTTCCTTCTCAGAGTCGGCATTCCCACCCTTGCCGGCCGCGTCTGTGTCTTCCCTCACCAGCTGGGAGACAGGCAGCTGCTGTGGACAGTGGCCGATGTTGGGCCCCGTCGGGGTGTAAGAGACCTGCACCCCAAGAACTTCATGCCAGGCGCCAAGCCTCACGCTGGTCCTCATTCTCAGGCCCATGTTTATCCAAGTATCCGGGGCCTTGAAACCCAACCCACCTCCACCTCCGCCCACTGGTATCTGTTCTCCCAAGATGCTCCCAAACCTTGGCCAGAGGCCCTGTGAAGCCAGGGACCTAACTTGTGTCACCCAGGGCCTGGCATTCTAGGCGAGTAGTAGTGCCTCAGATTTTGCTCAATGAGTGGCAGCCACGTGGTACAGAACATCCCCTCCGTCTGTCCCCAGGCGCTCACGGCTGAGCCGCCCACGGCCAGACCAGCTCCAGGCACGGTGCACATCTCAGTCCCCCCCTCCCCCCCCCGTGGTTAACTGCAATCCCTTCTGGGACAAACACGGCCACAGGAAAGTGAGCTAACTCCTCTCACTCTGAGGAGTTGGGGTGCAGTCGCTGACAGTGGGCAGTTCCAGTGAAGCCGCTCGGGGACCGGGAGCCCAGCTGCACACCGGGCCACAGTTCACAGCACTGCACCGACACCTGAGTTTGAGGGCAGATCTCATGCTAAGTGTTCTCCCCACAACTAACTTTTATATATACATAAAATAAAAATAAAAGGCCTCCCGTTACAAAAACCAAACCACCAAACGTACTAAGCACCTACTTTGTGCCACAACGTTCTCAGTGCTGGGGCTACAGCAGTGAAAGCCGTCCCTGCCCTCGGGGAGCTCGCGATGGAGGGGGAAGACCCCAAACGGAACTGTGGCAAGTGCCAGGAAGCAGGGAGGAGGGACGGGCCAGCAGGGACAGTGGGGAGGGCCCTCCTGCAGAACCAGTACTCGGACTTAAGAGGAGGCGGCCGCTCGCGTGGAGTCTGGGGGATCATCGGGCAAAGGAAAGACGTGGCACAGGCCTGCGGCCTGCTCACAGGTGGCGCCTGGTCCTCACAGCCCGCCATCTCGCTCCCAATAAAATCCAGCTGGCCCAGCTGTCTGTCCGCCTTGTGTTTGTCCCACCATCACTTTCCCTTCCAGGCTGAAGCCGTCCCCCCACCCCACCCCCCATGGGGCCCACACTCTGGGACTCTGCAAACCTCACCTCTAGGAGTTACGAAATTCAATGTCCAGCGGTCAGTGAGCTCTCTCCTGAGCCAAACCTGCACACCCCACCCACCAAGGCGCGTCCACTCCACATCCCATTGGGACATCCAACTCCACAAGACGAAACGCCTCAGAATCTGGGAACCCCACTCCCAGGGGTTCAGAGAGCTCTCTCCCTACCTGGCCACCTCCCTCTGCGCAGTCCATCCACTCGGTCCTCTCCTCACCAACCCACCTGCAGCTCAGGCCACCATGACTGCACTCACCTGTGACGCTGCGGTGGCCTCCAAACCAGCTTCCGGCCTCTGAGCCTTACAAAGCCAAGTCCCTCCCCACCGGCCACCCGAAAAGCAGCCGCCCGTCCCAGCCTGTCACCCTCTGCAACCCTCCCACCAGCCTGAGCCGTGCTGCCCTCAGCACAGCCAGGTCCCTTCCACTGCAGGCCTCTGTCCACGCTGCCCAACACCCCGCCCCCCGCAACCCCGTGCTCCACCGCATGGCCCTTTCACCGAGAGCTCTCAGTCAGCACCTGCGGCACCAGCAGGACCTCAAGGGAGCGGTGCTGAATGGCAGTAGCAGCCTCTGGCTCCTTGATCACAGGCGCCCAGGCCCTGGCTGACTACTAGGAAGAGGTCCGAACGCTGCCTCCGCTGGGAAGGTCTTAGGTCTTCACTGCGCAGCCTGGAGTCGCGTGGGACCAGATATAAGTGAACCACATAAAGGACCAGGCTCTGGCCACACTGGCCAGTCGCTGCTTCAACAGCCTCCTGGTGTGAGGCGTGACTCATTTTTAAATCGGCTTTATGTTGGGGATCCCCTAGAACAGCCGTGGGCAAACTACGGCCCGCGGGCCGGATCCGGCCCATTTGAAATGAATAAAACTAAAAAAAAAAAAGACCGTACCCTTTTATGTAATGATGTTTACTTTGAATTTATATTAGTTCACACAAACACTCCATCCATGCTTTTGTTCCGGCCCTCCGGTCCAGTTTAAGAACCCATTGTGGCCCTCGAGTCAAAAAGTTTGCCCACCCCTGCCCTAGAACGAAGGTCATGGCCATCAGGGTCGGCTGGGCGCCAACCCCGGAGGCTAAGCATGCTGCCCTCACCTCCACTGTCGGCTCCTGTCTCCCTGCTGGGACTGCGTCACCCTCACCAAAGGCAGCGCCACACCTGGAGCCCGGGGCCAGCGGTCTTGGCCTTGGATATCCCTGGAAACCCCACCCTCATCCCACCCCACTGCAGGGTGGATCCCGCAGGCTGGCTCCGGCGGGAGGTGCACTCACCTGCCTGGCGTCCTGGAAGGCGAACTCGGTGGGCACCGCGTTGTGCTTCAGGTTCTTGCGGTTCCCAAAGGCGCTGAAGCACTCGGGGCGGAAGTGCTCCGAGCAGATGACCGTGTGCTGCTTGGGCTGGAAGTTGCCCCGCCCGATGTTCAGCACCCATTCCTTCAGCAGCTCGGGCCGGCTGAACGGGAACCTAAGGGCAGAGGAGGCGGCGGGAGGGATGAGCGGGCATTCTCACATCATCACAGGGTACCTAGACAACTGGGAGAGTCCAGTCACCGCGCTGTGTTAAACCACATCCAGTTTCTGGAAGCTTCTGTCACGCTGTCTACAGCATCCTTCGGAAACGTGAGA